CATCCATCCATCCATCCATCCATCCATCCATCCATCCATCCATCCATTTTCTGTACCACTTATTAAGTGTGCAATACTATATTATTCCAGATTACACTTAAACAGCAAAATGCAATATCTATAAATGTAGTTATAATTAGTTGAATTATCCATCCATTAGTGTAACCGCTTATTCCCTGATGGGGTCCTGGGCCTATCCCAGTAGTCAATGGGCGAGAGGCGGGGTACACCCTGGACGGTCTGCCAGTCCATCACAGGGCCACACAGAGACACACAAGGACAAACAACCACCCTCCCTTAGGAGTGAGTGGGTGGAATGTGGAATGTCCAATCGACCTAAAATGCAGGTTTTTTGGACTGTGGGAGGAAGTCGGAAAACCCCGGGGACTCGAACCCAGGACCCTCTTGCTCTTGTACTCAAAATAATGAACAAAAATTATATATACATGTGCTGACTCAGAATAAGTCAGTATGTGTCCTCACAAAAATGCATGTTCTTTCTATATTTTTTATGTCTTAAAACAAAAACAGTATATTGGTAAATGCATTGATAGCAATAGCAATTATATGTTAACCGTTGAAAACCTTTATCATGAGACCTCAAATAAACGCAAACAACACTGCATACTCTGCCAGGTCAAGTTTGTCCTGCTACAGAAATAGCTTTGTTCAGATATCACGGTCAAGGCAATAGCAAAGATCTAAAGCACTCCACTAATTTGTTACATTATTTGATCTTGCATTCATTTACATACTGAAGTCCCAAATGTGTCTTTGGAGAGTGGAACCCTCATCCAAACACCAGTTTTTTCCAACTCAAATTCCACTGACATACTTTAACCTTTTTATTTTTCATTGATAGCTTCTGTAGTGGCTCGAGTAAAAGAAGTGTTTAAAGAAGTTTCTCACAAAATGCTTAGGGGTTAAGATCACTATGTTTTTTGTTTTTTTAAATAAAGATCTCAGAAGTCTAAAAAGTCTGCCTTTTCTGATCTGTCTCAGGGACAGTCTAATTTAATCTGTTAGTGATTATTAAATGAGTCATTTACAGAGGGGGGAAATATCCCCCCTATGTAGCCTTATCATGGAAAACCATTTACTTGATTACTTTTATGGTTTTGCTTTTTCTGGCCTAAAAAACTTCAATAATATAGATAAATACTGGATCATAAAACGATTCCCAACCTGTAATCGCTGAAAGTTTGATTATTTTTACACACCTGCTTTTAACCGTGAATACAGGGTGAATTTTACTGAATTGTATTTATGCTTGAAGTTATCTGTTACAAAAATGTATGCTGAAATATATTTTGTAGTCTTACATTATCATCATATCATGTCGTCTTTTGCGTGATCCAGGTGAACCTGATGCTGAACGGGAAACCAGTCATCTCTGCCTTTGCTGGTGACAAAGATGTCACCCGTGAGGCCGCCACTAATGGAGTTCTCCTTTACCTTGAAAAAGAGGACAAAGTCTACCTTAAGCTGGAGAAGGGAAACCTAGTCGGCGGATGGCAGTACTCGACGTTCTCTGGCTTTCTGGTGTTCCCTCTGTAAAAAAAAAAAAAGAAGAAAAAAGATGATTATGGAAAAAGACAAAGCTGGGCTTACGGACTTCTTCATAATGTGTCGTCACAGTATAATCAAAAACATGCTGCTGCATCTTTTGGATTTTGCTCACTGGCCGAGAGATGAAAAAGACAGAAGGAAATGGATCAAAACCTTGTGGAAGTAAGACTTTAGAGACTGTTCACATGGAAATGGACAGGGATGAGTCCCTGTCCATATGAAAAAGACTTGAAATGTTCTCTATTGTTACCATATGTCCCTATCACTAAAGCAACCCCAGAGAGGGATACATCCAAAAAAAAAAGTACATCCCAAAAGTACCCTTCAAACTCTGACTTGTTGAAATATCCTTATCTTTCTTGACAACTGTTGCATCCAATGACATTTGGCTTTTGTGCGCAAAACTGTGTCTGTCTGAGTTCTGTGTGACCTGTCATCATCAGAGTAAACACACTCCTATATGCTGACCATACCATAACAGTTGGTACACCATTTTGATTGTTGTTGGATTGTTGTACTGTTTGCATTGCACAACAGGTTTATCTCGGGAGTGGAAGTTTTCAAGTCCCGGCACGTAAACTACAACGACTTGTTTGACTGACCAGAATAGTTCTAGCTGAAATGAAGACAAGTCTCTTTTTACAATATTACACAAATATCCAAGAGTGTGTTGTCTTTTTTTTGTCGTTGTTCACTTTAATGTTGACAAGAACGAGCAGTCTGCCTTATTTTTTCATGCTAGAAACATCCAAATTATTTGGGTGTTCTTTTCCAGGCTGAGCAATTTAATTTAATTTATTAGTTTTTTTTGCCATACATTCCAAAATACTCGCTGTATAGTTTGTACAGTTATTTGTTGTGTCTTTCTGCGGACTATCCCACTTTGTGACACTGTCACTCTCATTTTCTCTGACCATGGCTGCTCAATGACAGCTCACTCACCAGCTCCACGCCCACCATTTTTTTCCAAAAATGGGTATCATTTGGTGTGAGACTAGCAGCAAAACTAGAAAATTAAATCTGTCAAGCTCTCACACATGCATATCAACTGTCCATAAGTGAATGAACCACAGATTTAGCTCAGATTTGTCAGCAATGTGAAAATTGAGAGCTTGGTAGCATCTTGTGATGCGGACCTTAACCCATAAGAGCCCAGATCCATTTTTCCCTAAAGAAAAATTATAAGGGATAGAAAACCGACCAAATGAACTCTTAGTTCAGATATTCATTTGGATATCTTTGGACTACATTGGAAGCACAAACGTATTTACTATTGCTATCAGAGCAATTATTCCTAGTTTGATGAAAGGGAATATCTGTGCAAACAAGCTTACCATTTTAATTTTCAGGTTTATCTTGCAGTCTATATGTCTGTGCTCTGTTAAAGGCGTATATAATGTTACTGTAAATTCTGGGGGTGCAAGTAAATTAAGTATGACATATAGTGGGAAAGAACAGCTTTTGATTGTGTTACAGTAAATACAAAACCTTTGCTCAGAGTGGTGTAGCATTACTATGAACAGTGTTACAAATATTGTAAAGGCTACTGTATCGGTTGATCATTTAGCCCAAATGTCGATATCTGAGGAAACAAATGTGATGTTTCTGAATTTGCACCTCTACAAATGTGTTTCCTATTATTATATTAGTGAAACGCATACATCTAGTTTCATGATATTTCTCCTAAAGTGTATTTTCTTATGTTGGATTTGTTGTAAGCAGACAATCCCCATCTGCATATTTCTAAAGGGACAAATGCAATGGTCTTTTGTAAAGTTTAAAGGGATTTGGTGGACCTCAGTCAGTGAAAAGCTTTTGATGTTTAGTGAGGATACATGGCCTCCTCTTGGAAGTGTGATTGGAGACTATGTGTGATTACCATTGCCCATTGTATTGCTTGTCAAACTCAGACTTAAACATAACTTCAACAAAAAGACAATGATTTTGCCACTATCAGCTTAATGATCTTTAAAGGTCTAATAACACAGATCAGATTTGTTCCTGAGCTTTCAAATGTTAATTAACACCGAGTACTAAGTTGCTCTTGATATTTTAACATTTGACACTGAACAGAAATGGGCTTTAAAGAACATAATGATCCACTTAAGAAGAGTCTCCTGATAATTTAATGTCACACATCAAACACACAAAGAAAACAAAAAATTAAAAAAAAATGCTGAGTTTTGCACTGCAACATTGTGACGAGTTTAAGTTTTTTTACATTTGTATTTGCCAGCACTCGTAGAGTGATAATGCCAGTTGGGGGTGGGTAGAGCTGCAAAAATGCTATCAGCTTCAGTAGTAAATTATTTTTTACAATTTCCTCTTTCAGTTAGATACTAACAAAATGTGAATATATATTGATTTCATCATTTGAACTTGATTTTAAATGTTTTTTGTTAAACTTTGTTTGACATTGATGTATTAATGTATCGAAGAACTTATGAAATGATGAATAAAAATGTGCTTTTTAAGTAAAATGGATTACTCAAGTGATTTTCAAAGGCTATAAAACTGAGGAATGACATGAAGAAAACAAAAATGAGTTTAAAAGGTAATGACAACACATTCCAAAGAAAATATAACAAATTTTACCAAAGTATTTTATCTTTGTAAAAAAGTCATTTGAGATGAAAATTTGCATTTAATTAGTCTGACTTTTAATTGCGCTTCAAACTTGTTTGAAAATGATTTGCAAATGAATGTGTGTTTAGTCATGCCAAAACAAAATTTAAGCAGCTCAGCAGTTTGTTGTTTTTTGATTTGCCACCTCATGTGTGACCTTAGAGTGTCACAAAATTCTTTACATTTTTTGATAAAAAGACACCTGGCCAGCACTCATTCTCTCCACGTCCATGAAGCCATGCTGCAATTAGTTTTTTTCATAACGAGGTCGGGTATACTGATTATAAACATAAACCTGCTGGGAAAAGATGTTCATTTTATGGTTACACATGTCTCCCCTACAATTCCAGTGTACAAATACACAATAACAATCCCTCTGTTTAGGAATTTGTTTTAATTTGCTTCCTTACATAGAAAAAAAAAGATATTTGGGGGGAGGGGCACGGTGTACATAACACACAAGCAACCTTGAGGATGTAAATTATTCGACACTGTAATGCAAACAAAAAATAATAATTAAAAAAAGAAATACAAGTATGCATAACTTTTCATCCCCCAGGTCAAAACTTTGTAGAGCTGCCTATTTTGACAGTTACACGTTCAGGTCTGTTGGGGTTTGCTTTTGTAAACGTTGTGCATACAGCCACGGGGATATTAGCCTATTCTTCAAAGCAAACTACTCCAGCTGCTTCAGGATGGATGAGTTCAACTTTAGACTCATTTGACCACAGGACCCAGCCCCAGAACTTCTTCTTCATGCCTTTTAGTAAACTCTTAACATGTCTTCTTTGTAACAAAACCTTTTTTTTTCTGGCAACTCTTCCATGAAGACCACCCTGTGGAGGGTACTGCTCATAGTGGGAATACAGGCAATTACAGCAGTCCTTGCTGAGGAACTTTCTGGCTTTTTTGTCTTTTCATTGGCTCTCTGATTAATGGCCTTGCCCGTCAGTAAGTTTTGATAGAAGCTCCTATCGAGGCAAGATTTATTGTGATGCGATATTCTTTTCATTTCAGGACGGAAGATTTAGTGGTCATCCATAGATTAATCAAAGGTTTCGGATATTTCTTTCAAACAAAAACCTTGATTTGCTCCTCCACAGTTTTGCCTATCTTCTGTTTTAAGAGCTCCCTGGTCTTCATAGTGCCGCTTCCACCGCTTTCACAGTCTTTGTGAGTGGTGTTGTTGAGTGTCAGAACGGGTAAACAAGTTCAGAGATTATGTTACAAATAGTAAAAAGGTGGGTTTAGCAAAATAGGCAGCTTCACAATATAACAATATAACAAATTACTTCAATTAGGCAAATTGGAAAAAAGGGATGTGATTATGTTTGAAGGAAATGCACACCTCCACTTTGATGGACCTCAGATGTATTACATTCACGAATGTGAGCCGTTATAGAGCAGGTTGCAGGATTTTTCCTGTAGAGTCAACATAGAACTACACATTTTAATTTTTTCTAAATCAGATTGAATCTCAACTCCCAACAGATACATAAAGGTCATTAAATACTTAGCAGATATCTATATCCAAAGCATCTTACACTATTGCTAGTTACTTTGGATATAAGTGTTCAGCGTTTTGTCCAAGAACATGTAGACATGTGGCCAAAAAGAGGAGTCAAATCACCACCTCCCTCCTGGTAGGCAATTTCACTTCCTCCTGATTTCTGGAAACAGAGGGACTGGGAAGTCTGAAAATGTTTTCCGAAGGTATTACTCAATCCATGTGACTTTTCTTTCATGGTAGTAAAATTATTGTAAATTACACTCATTGGGTCTAGTTTACTATTGAGCAACTGATAAAAAATATTATATGATAGTTTGAGGCTGCTCAGGTTGCATACCAAGTTTCCATGTATATTACATATTGTGCATACAGTACATATGAAATATTTATATATGTATAGAAATAGAATATGAAATAAAATAATACAGAACTGTCTTCATGAGTACCACCAAGACCAAAGAGGTGGTGGCAGATGTCAGGTGATCTAAAACACCACGCCAGTCCGTCTGCACTGACCGAAAGTCTGTTTCGACCCAGAGACGTCTGGGGAAGTTGCGGGATAATAAACTGGAGTGATCTGCCGACATGAAAGCAGCGCAGGAAAAGGGGCAGAGCTGTCTCATCTTCTTGAGATGGCTCAGGTCCTTCAGTGTTTTCAGTGGCATGCTGTGCATTTTTCTATGATGTTGAGATTGCAAAGGACTGCTGGTGCAGTGGCACTACAGACAAAAATATGAAGGGACCATAACAAACTAGCTGAAAATGCTAGTTTTGTTGTAAGAGGGATAGACTCCCTCAACTCTGTAGTGGAGCATCAGATGAGAAGCTAGTTTTTTTTCTCTGTTTGAGAACGATAAACACCCTCTCCACAACATCATGGCAGGACAGAGTTTTAGTGAGAGACTCCATTCACTGCGTTGCAGGACTGAAAGTATCAAGAGGTCCTTTTATAAACGGCCATAAGGCTTTTGAACCATGACTTCTAACAGCACTCAAATTATTAATATGTATATTATGTATAATATAAGTGTTTCTCCCTCAAAAAAGAGATTTTATCTCAAGGGACTTCCTGGTAAAATAAAGGTTAAACAAATAAAAAAATAAATGTATGTACTATTTTACTTATCGTATTCTAATTCACTTTTATTTATCTAATCTAACAAAAATATTTAAATATACAATCTGAATTTTGCTGACACATAATTGTCTATTCTATTCTATATATATTTAGACAAAATATATTAGACAAATATATATTTAGAAAACTAATGCTGAAACTATGTGATATTTTGCATTTTAGCCTGAGTATAGCTGTGTATTTTTCCACTGATCAAACTTTTTTGTGTGTGCGCAGTGCACGGCTATTGGTGAATTTGTTGTACATTGATATTTCTGCTTTGCCAATAACAAGCTATAGCCAGAGCTCAAAGCTCTTTGTGGTACACCATCCTTGGGGGGGAAAAAAGTAACAGGATCACAGGGGGAGAGAGCCGAATTAAGGCTGTTGATCTGGCACAGTAGTGAGGGGTTTCGACGACGACTGCAAAGAAAAACAAGGCTTCCTAATATTTTTCTCACCAACGTAAGGCCTCTTGCCAAAAATCTGGATGAACTGAGGCTGCGAGCTGTGAGAACAAGGCTATCTGGGACAGCTGCTTATCGGAGATATGGCATCGTGCACTCATCCCAGATGCATCTACTCGATCTAGCACCGGGCTAAACAGCGTATTGGTACACAGGACCAATGTCTGAAGAAAGAACAACGGAGAGGGGTATGCATTTATGCAAACAACAGCTGGTGTGCCAGTACAAAGATGCAGTAACCCGCTGCCCACAATCTATTTGCATTGTGATGCAAATTCTTACCTGTCTTGTGTGGGAACTTCAACTATTGAAACTGTTTTTCCCAAAATTAATGCAGTACATTAACTTTGCTAGCTGAGCAAACACACTGGCAAACTGTACACAAAGCTCAATTGGGCCTCCAACAGAGCTTACCCATTCTGATCATACATCTCTGCATTTAAAAAGAACCCTGTGCCAAAGACTGGTTTACAAATTGACGGACCAAAATTGT